TGGAAGCCACTCGACAACTCCAAATACAACTGGAAGCCCAAAGACGAAACATCCCAGAAGTAATTTCTCCAATTGATGTCAAACATATAAGTTTTTGGACAATTATAATTTACATAATTATTGTAATGGGTTGCATTTACATATTATATAAACTTTTAAAAAGTAAGTTAAATTTAAAGAAAAACAAAGTTGCAAACAACGACATAATTCTTTAATGTAAAACTACACCCATATAGGGTATACTTTTATCTAAAGGCGGAGGAGTTACAATCGCCTTATCACTAAGACTGCATTTCAGCCAGACGCAATTCAGCATCTTAGTGTCTATTGTTTAAGATTGTTTTCCTTAACATGCAAGCCCAAGATTATATTCATTCTCATCCTGTACTCGCTTCAATAAAGTCGTTTTTTAAAAACACGTTTGTTCGAGACCACATAGTAACTATCAGTTTACACTTTGTTTCGAAAAAAAATTCCAAACTACACGTCGATCTGTTAAAACGTAAAAAACACAAATGCATTCATTCAATTGTTACCTGCCTATTCAATGAATTTTATTGTACGCTTGCTGAAATGTTGGTCAGGTATTGAGATTTGTAGGTTTAAAAATATATTAGACTAGCACCTCAATAAATATTCACTTTGCTACAAAACACGATTAACTAGGTAAACCTAAAAATATATCATAGTTTTCGGTAGTTTAAATAATTTGGCATGCATAGATTTGCCAACGTAATATAATTGTAGTAAAAATCAAATCATTTCTGGAACAATTTTCAATTATTATTTGAAAAGGACTGATTGCAGGATACGAGATTTTAAATATTCTACAAATAAGTAAAATTAAAGTAACATATGAAATATACAGTTAAAAAAAAATTAAAATCTACGAACGGAAATTATATTAGCCCCATTTTCAATAGATTAATTGCATGTTTTCTAGTAAATGTCATTTGGAATTAAATATTTTTAATATGTAAAACTCTACTGTTGGAATTTATTAAAAGGCTCAACAGCTTCTATCGCCGCTTTATAGACAACTTATATACGCATAGTTTTAGAAATACGTCTTAATTAGTTGGCATTCTGCAAATTGACCTTATGAGTTTTTACATATTTAAAAAAATATTTAAAATTCAATTTTGTTGCAATTGAAAAATGTGAGCAGCAAAAGAATCAGCGGTGAATAACGGTCAATAACGGTCAATTCAATGTTCTGAATGTTCACGCCTAAAATGCATTTTACACAGCTCCTAATTCGCATTCGAACTTTTCAAGGTTCAGTGTGTTTATTGACATCCATAAATAACCGCATTTCTGAGTTTTGATTGGCAAAAATATTAAAGCCATGTGCATAAAAGTTGGCATCGGTTTTCGGGCCAATACTGAATCATGTTTTTTCCATGCAACAACAGTTTTATGTTTTTTTGTAAATTACAAAACAATGACGTGTTCAAGCAATAACCGCTCAACCTGCTAATCTGAACGAATTTATAATTTTAGATCGTCTTAGTTCGATTATGTCACGGTTAATTAAATTATATCGAGCGAAACTATTTAGCAGTTGATAATATATAGGCCTCCAAATGTGGTTTCAAGAATTTGCTGTTCTGTTACGTTATTTCACGTGCTTAATTGTTTTCCAGTTTCAGGATATGTGCATGTCGAACTTTCAAATAATTTCGCAATATATTAAGTAATACTGCGTTGGCGCAACTTCAGTTCAGTTATTGCCAAAAAATAAAGCCTAGCTAATTTAACGTCCAGATATCCAGTTCTCTAATGGAAAATCTTGAACTTTGAATAACATGTGCACAGCAATAAAATAATTATTTTAATTGATTTAGTAACTTGAGGATTTTAAAATTTTGTTATTTAGACGATCAACTTTTTTAAAAATTAAATGGCAACAAAAACCGCCCAGGATAAAACGTATTTAGGTAAAATAAATACACCTGAAATGCATTAATCTGCGGAAGTAAGCTAGGAATAAATAGGTCAAACAAAAGCTATTATTTTTTTTTAATTCAATGGCTCAATGCATTTGTCAATTAAGTTGACGATTTTCGCTGGTTGGAATTGGAAGTCAATATGTCTACCTGCATGATAGATAAATAAGATCGCATAAAATGTATTTTTGTCACTAATGACTCACACATATCACCGGAACCAAATTAGAATCTGGATATCTAAACTTTTTGAACCCACTTATATCGTTCCATTCATTCGCTTGGAGAATGAAAATAAATCCTCATTCGATATACCTAAACGACATTTTAATAGTTTGGAACTTATATTTTCCAGAATCGTATTGTTTTTGGGGCGTTTGGCTCAATTGCGGTATACATTTACCAAAAATCCGCCGAAAATACTGAAACACATCTGGATCCGAATTAGATTTCTGGCAGTGGTATCCTGTCAATCATCGATTTAGTAAAAATGGAAAACTAATTGCCAGGTTGCTGCCCTGTTTCGGCTGTGTTTGCGATAAAAATAGCGACAATATTAAATATTTATAATAATTTTTAATTCGAGAACAAAACGTTTTGTTTGGAAAAATATACTGAACTGGGAAACGGTTCGTTTCAAACCCATAGCATCATAATTTTATTACTGAGTCAGAGCATACACATGATATTAACAAGCCTTTTTAATTGCGCTGTTAAAATTAGCACTTTCTTGCGTAGGCATAGTTGATTGCTGGATTTGTAAGATATCGTAAAATCTCAGGTTTACAGTCGGAAAAATTCCAATTAGTTTTTCATAATATTTTTAATGGGCAATATCCGGAATAAGTGTTACACTTTTCTGCTTTGGAATCCACCGACAATATGCAGCTTTCCAACACAGGGACGAATCGAGTTTATAATACTGGATCAACAACACACAAACATTAAATTTTTTTTACTCCCGGTACTGAGCAAACTGTTTGAACACATATACCTAAAAAAAAGGTGCAAATTATACTGTAAATACCATAGCAAGAAAGGCCAATTGGTCGATAGGTTACAATTTATACTTGTTTGTCACAGTTTATGTTTGTTTTCAGATATGATCGCAAATCGCACATGGTTCATAAGCTACCAAGTCCAAAAATGTAAGTAACTATTAATACTAAATTAATGTGTCATGCAGAGATTAAAATGAATAAAATTACTCTATTTGAGTAAGCAAATTCTATTAAGCTTTTTTAGATTGAATAGTAAATGAAATTTTTCATTTTACGTATCACCAAAGTAGTCAAATGTCATTTTAATAAGTGAACTGGCTCTTTATTTGGACGCAGTTGCACTCAAAACTAGATATAAACATAACATTTTCCATTTTCTTCGTATGTTTGTAAATATTGTTTAGTAAGTTTTGTTTCGCATTGCATTACAATTTGGCTCCGAATTGACATATTCTGTAATCAACATTTTTAAAACCGGATGCGAGACTTTGTTGTTCCATTAGGTATAGAATTATCCGAAAATTCCTCGTGGAAAATAATTCCGGCACCTACAGAAGCATTAAAAGTAGTGTCTCAATGTAAGAAGTTGATAATTTTAATTGCAGTTGAACTTTGAAAATAGTGAAATGTTGTGGATTAAAGTAATTCACTGATCAATATTTTCCCTGGAAAGAAAATTTCAGCAATAATTATAATTTTTTTAAGTTACACAAATCATTTTAACGCTGCCCCCGTTCGATTCGCTATCATTTTGCTGTAAGAACCTCATTTTATTCATTATATATAGATGTTTATTCGATCGGTGATGATTTGATTAGAGACTGGAATGGATTTTTGAAAAATAAAAGGAGTTTTAATGCATAAGGAAATTGCAAAAATAGCTGTTTTTGAAACCTTAAGGGTTTCAATCCAGTCCTGAATCTGCTTAGTGGCAACCATTTATTTGTGCGCGCTACCAGCTACATAATGTGAAGGTGATTTGAGTCCATTTGAGGCTACGATAATTATAAATTTCTTTTAACTAATATTATCAAAGCCAGCACATTATACATAAAATTAGCTTTAATTTCGAAAAATTTAGAAAATTGTCTTATTATTATTGATTAAACTCGCTTATTCTTGATTTTAGAAAAAAGTGAATACCAATTTTTCCAAGTTTTCCTTAACAGGTAGTTAGAGATGAAAAAGTTTACATCATATGTCTACTTTGGTAAGTTGAAAAAAATTGCTCTGTGAGCTACAGGTGGACGACGAAAAATTTGTAATACAGACCCTTATAGAAGGGTAATTCTCAAAACTTAATAAAAGTGTCATCTGACATTAGAATTTAATCCAATTCAAATCATTCACTATTGACGCAAATAGCAATCGACTCATCTCAAATCAAATCGGTCAAATGAAAAGACAAAAAAACTGTATCTCGGAATTCATACACTATGAGCAAAACTCATAATTTCACTGCAAATATTTCGATATCATGTTAAATGTTTTGTAAGCACCATAAAAAAACAATTATTACTTTGCCTTTTTGAAAATAATCGCACGTTTACTAATGGATATTAGTTCAAGATCGAAGTCACACTTTACGGGTGTTAATTGGAAAAACTTCTTGGCCGTTTCAAGCATTCAAAGCAGAACATGGTTTAAAAAAAATTAACTTAATTGGAAACCGATAAAAAACTTGTTTGCAGTCAAAACAGCAACTTTTACAGCTTTAACTAATCATCCACAATCAGAACTGACTAGGAGTTTTAGGGAAAAATAACATTTTAGTGCTTCGTGTATGGTTTTTTTAAATTTTTGCGTTCAAGTTTTGGCGCGTCTTGTATATGTATGTCGGAAAATTTGCGATCTGCTCTAAGTTTCCTGTTCCGAAAATACCGATCATAACAGAATGAATTACACAATGTGACTAGACGCTGATTTGAGTTTTGTGCTGCATTTAACACAAGAAAATCGTAAAAAAATTGGCAAATTGCAATAAAACAATCAGTCGTAGCGTAGGATTTTTGCGGCATGAATTAGTATCAATAGAAAGATCACGCTGCTAAAGCCATTGTTAAGATTGCATTATGCAATTAGAGTCAGGAAGTATCCAGTGCATCACTTCCTGCTTGCTTGAAAATGGCACTCTATTAAAAAACATCGAGCCAATTCAACCTACTAGGTGTCGAAGCTGTGGCTTTAAATTTGGGTGTGGGTGCCTTCATGTCCAAATATGTGCACTGGCAAACATTCACTCAAAAAAATTCATTTTTTCCTAAAGTTCCGGAATTGGTTTTCCCCTCCGGAAAACATGAGCGTCGCGCGGCAGGCTAGTCGAAAAACTGACAGCAAAAAATATTGAGACGCCACATTTGCGTCGGGACGCCTGTTCGGAAAAACGATGATGGTGACGCTGCGCCCATTCCAAACGGCGACGAAATCAGTGTTACCGATTTAGATCTCGATCTTGGCTTTAGGTGGCAGATACGAGGGGTACTAACGATTAAAATCGTTACCATTCGACTTATACGAAAAACCGAAAATAAAGAAAAACACACACGCATCTAAGCAGCAGAATAAATCAGTTGAAACGTCCGTATGTAACACGTAAATTGTGTATTCCAAGAGGGTATCGATGCATTAATTACTTTCATATTTATAGATTCAAATTTAGAATAATCGAGATGCAACATTGAAATAAATGTATGTTGAACTCTAATGGCTGAAATGACGCATGTATGGCCAATAGAAATGTCGATGTTAACGTTCTCATTCAAGGATCAAAGCAAGTGAACATTGCAGATTCATCTACAGTGTGATCCATTTAAATTACAAGTTCAATTCTTTTGTGACACTTAACACTAAATAAGTTGTATTTTTATATGAATTGCTTGACATTGTTTACTAACAAAACTGTATTTTTTGGCAAGTGAACAAATTTTGAACTTGCAAAAAGTCGGTATCGGCTATTAAAAAAATATTTTCTTTCGTCCACCAATCTTTCATCCCGTTTTTAGTTCGAGCAGTTAGAACACTCTAAAATACTTGAAAAAGTAAGGACAAGTGGCGTTAAGTTCGGTGGTCTTGACGGCCGTTTAATTAGTTATTTTAAGTGTTTTTCCGAGAATTTTTGAGCATGATGATGTTATTCACGTATTCCTTTCATCAAATTGTTACAATGCCCCGAATTATGGAAGAATAATAAATTTATTGATTTATTTTCTTGACGAGTGTTGCCTGGTTTCAAAATTTCAATTTACCGAGGCATTTTCTATATTTGTGTGTTTTATTTGCGGGTACCGAAAATGCCTAAGACATAATGTGAGGGCGAAACAACGGTTCATTTTGCTCAAATTTTCACCATCATCTCTTAGATCTTGTATAAGTTCCTCATTTATTTCTCCTATTTTCTTGGTGAGTTGAATATGAAACTAATAATCAATCATTCTCATCTTTATTTATATTAGATTTCAAAATTCCACTCCAGCATTATCTTCAAGCACATCAATGTTTTATAGGCAGGCATTTCTTAATCACGTCGTTAACTATTCATTTAATTGTCAAATATTATTTGCATAATGATTATTTAAAATTATCGGCGCCTAATTAATAAAATGTTAATCAAGAAGCTATCAAATTCCATGTCGAAAAAAATGCTCGAGGAAAAAAATGGGCTTGACTCGAAGGACGAGAAGTATGAAATTTTCTCACAAAATGAAAGTTCTTAGCTACTTTGACGAAATGTGCTTTTAATTAAACAAACAACAACTTTTATTTCCTTGCAAGAACTTGCGACGGTACATCCATCAACATTATTTATTAATACTAGACTCATTATCTGAATTTTATTATTTTCGCTAAAGTAAACGATCCGGAAGTTGCATAAACAAACAGCCGTATATAAATTGGCTGCGATAACGTAGGAGAGTTGGCATCAAACCTAGTTTTTTTTGAGAAAACTTTCTTAATTGCGTAAATTAAAAACTACACATGTCTTCGACTATTCCAAGTGTCGACCACATACTTCCAATACATTAATCATTTTTATTATACATTCAGGACATGCTTCTTATTGTTTCGGTCTATAAATGTGCAGTGAAACTTTTGCTATGACCATAATTGTTGTAGAAGGATTTTCATGGATGTTAAATCATAGGCGTCCATTATTCCTTTGTAATAAATATATTTTGTATCGTGTATGCAAAAGCTCGCTTGCTGCAAAGGTTTATCTACAAAGTATTTTTTTCTAATAGCCTCATGAAGCAGTAACGATTTTATGATCACTCCCTGGTATTTTCTGAAGAACCCCGATTAATCATGGTTTCGGAACATCCAAATAAAACACGACACATCCATTTATTTTATGAATGCCTTGATAATTCAAGGCTAGATATATGGATACTACAGGATAAGGTTATACCTGCTCCTATAAATACTGTAATTAAGTTTTTCTGTACTTGGTGATTTATAGGTGGCTACCTTTCATCTGCCCACACAAAACAACTAGTCACAATCATAACTTAAAAAATGTGCTGGAACAAACTATTATATTATAATCGTAAAACTGGGTGATTTAACAGGCGACAACTAGATATAAGAGACAATGATGGCCATGAACTATTTACATGTAATTAAACAAACCTTTTCTTTTAAACAGAAATCCCTTGGCTAAGTTTAAAGAAGCATCGATTTCATGCAAAAGACTATAGGATTTGTAGGTTTTGTTTTTCGCCAACGCCCTGTACACTCGGCGTGCTTCTTTGCAGCATTTTCTGTCGCATTGCGTTATCATTATTTTGTTGAAGCACCCTAAGAAATAGCAAATTGGATTCATAATAAAAACTGAATACATTTTTTTAAAGCTTAGTATTTCTATCTCCGGATACGCTTATCTGAGGAACTAATATAGATGAACATACCAGGCCTACTCTCAAGTTGTGTTAAAGTTTATATTTGATATTTCAGGATGGTTTCATTCATGAAATTCTTTTGTCGTTTGAATGCTGTAAATATTTGGGAAATTTTTTCAACATTCACCTCGTACAATAAACATCAGCAGTTAGGGCTATAATATTTTAACTGGCCATTCGATCTACATGTGGTTTTTGTTTTTAATATGGAAAACTAAAATTAATCATGTGACGTAATATTCAAATGGTATATTTTTCGAAGGCTCCCCACATTCTAAATTTAAAACTTTAAATTTAGGTTAATACGACTAACCGGTACACTCGGCTGCAAAAGTCCGGTCGTCAATGTAATTTTCTTTGCTACGGTTAATTGGTCTCTAATGAGTGAGTTAACTGCTTGCAAAGCACTGTTTCAAATAAGAATTTCGTTTTCTGCTGCCTAAAAGCTTCATTATTTTCAACTAACAAAAACAGTTCAGAAAAAATGTATTAAAAATTTGTAGGTAAACAGAAAACCACCATAAGTCAACTGCCCTAATATTTCTACTTTCAATTTCAACTGTCTTCCACAATAGTGTCGTTTTTTACGAAGAAAAGTTTAGAGTTCATTTTCCACATTTGTTTTAAAAATAATGATTCAATTATTTTTAGGCTTTATTTCTACTTAGGGAGCGCTTTTATGAAACGTCGCAAATAATTTAAAACATCAATCCTATGCGGATAGAGACACTAAATAACATTCTGAAAACAATGTGTCTTGGATATTATATTTTTCCCTTTATACTATTAGGTATAGATTTTTTGTACGAAAAATTAGTTAAATATATTTTCGCTTATTTCGAGCCAAGGAAAGATCTGCAGTGATTCTTTTCATCAAGATCAAAGCTTTCTGCGCTTACACTTAACGATTAAAACAATAAATCTTAGAGAAACTAAATTTTTATTAATAAAGAAACTAATTAATTATAAAAGCGTTCAAAAGTTCATCAATTAATAAAACATGCATAGTCAGAAAAAGCTCGATCTGAAATAGAACTTTACTTTGGTTATATGTAGATACTTCGAAAATTAACAATTTTATAAAAAAATATTTTCTGCTTCTGTCCTTCACCAAAGTGAAATTTGCATTAATATTTTAACTTACCACTACATTAAGTGGCTATTTTTCAAAAACCTGCTTATTTTTCAGTCTTGCAGGAACACAAAACCCATTCAAAGTTAATTGAAAACATGTCAAACAAAAAACAACAAAGCTCACACTCAATTTACTTACTGTCTTCTGGCTGTGTTGTCAAGTCGCCCACAAATTCCTGCAAATGTCGAGGAAGCGTTTCCACGCCCTTCACTTTGTCGCGGTCCAGCACAATTACTGGTGGGGCTTCGTTGTTTTCCTCGATTTTAGATGAATCCACTTTTTCGGCTGCGTCATCCTTTTTTTCGCTGGAGTCGCTGTCTGTTGAGTTGTTTTTCCTCAGCTTTTCCTTTACTCGGTCCATAAATTCCTGCTCAATTTCGATTGGATGTATTATTTCCTTGGATCTAAGTAGGACATCCTTTTCTTGTTCCAGCTCATTGCTCGAAGATATTTTGATAACTTTATGCTGTTTCCTCTCTTGCCGCTCAGAGAACTTGTCCATGTATTCCTCGTACATTTGCTGTCTGAAGAACTCTGTTGGGAAAACGGGCATTGAAGCTGGTCGCTCTTGTTTGCTGCTCACATCTTCTCTTATTTCAGCAAAATCTCCCTTCTTCGACACGTAAAAGTCGTCCACTTGGAACTCCTTCTGTCTACTAGGAGCGATTTCTGCTCGCAACTTTCTCTTCTCTTCCTCCAACATCTCAAGCTCACGTTGAATCTCTCTTTCTTTTTCCATAATATCGATCAGTTGTTTTTCATAAATTTCTTGCGGCAAAGAACGCCGACGAGTGTTTGAAAATTTCGCTTGCTCACTTTGAGCAGTTTGAATAGTTCGCCGTAAGTTATTTATAGGTATGTTAGTGCAGTCGAGGTTAGATGTACTTTTGCTTTTATGTCTGGCCAACGTTAGCCATTCACCCAAATTTTTTGCTTTTAGTCTTTGCTCGGAATTGTCTGCAGGAAATAGGAACTCTTGGGTGGGCTCTGTTTCGCTCGGTTCTTCGCGAATAATTGTAAGCAACCGATTTGGACTCAACAAGTCAGATTCCCTGTTGCCAATGTTTGTGATAATCACTTGATCATCGTTGTTTTTTGCTGTTTCTCTAGAACCCTCATCATGGCGCCTTCTGAGGGCGAAATTTTTATGAAGCTCTAGAATTTTTCGCTGTTCTTCCTCATAAGAGTTTGAGCGGTTGGTCCACATGTCTTGGTTAGTCTGAACTGAAACAGTGTTGTTTTCAGAAGCAAGACCTTTAAATGGAAGTTTGTTAGTAAAATTTTCAATGCTTTTGGACACCTCAGCCAGCTCCTTCAGAATTTCCTCGCCGAAGGGAAGCGACACTAAAACCTTTAAAACGATGTCTCTAAGTGACAACGGCTCATTAGTTTTATTGGCTTCCAATAATTCTTCATCTTTCGCTATTGAAGCTACATCTGCAAGGGACGAATTAGGATTGTACTTGACAGTACACCTGGAACTCTCCTCACTTTCAGAGCTTTCGCTGCTTGCAGAGGCAGGTCGAGGTGGACTTAGAACATTGGAATATATCACGTCACCGCCTGCAGGAGTTTCCCCTTTTGCCAAAACTCCCCTATTCTCAAATTGCTTAACTTCCGCTCCTAAGTTGTTAGCAATGCGCTTATTTAGTAGCAGAGTTTTGGATCTACGAGGCGGAGGTACTGGAGGACTGTTTTCAATTTCGTTTTCTTTTGGGCGTGGTGGCACTGGTGGAGATATATCATTCTGCGAGGAACTCGGACTTTTCGTTTTAACTTCATCAGCTTTCCGATTATTTGGAATGTTTTTTTCTGCAATGCCTTCCAAGGTCTTACTGATACTTTGAATATCTTGCTTAGTAAATGTACTTACTTTATCATTGCGCGAACAGTTTTCAACCTTCAAAGGAAGACTGAAGTTTGATTTTGCATCTCCTTCAATCTCAACAGGTATTATTTTTTCTAAAATATCGCTGGGTTTTGCTGGGTTCAGCTTAGAGGGGCCGGTCGGAGTGTTTTCAATTGTCACCGGAATTATCACTTCCCCTTTAGATTTATCCTGCATGTTTTGGTTGTTATTTGTTTCTAATACTATGGGAATTATTACTTCTTTTTTCTCTTGAATGGCGATGTTGTTGGGAGCCCTGTGAAATTCAGTATCAATGGTGAAACTTAAAAGATTCTTCAAAACGCTTCCTTCTTCTTTTTTAGGTACGTTTTCGTATATGTTTTCCAATTTTATTGGAATAATTTTGTATTCGTTGCTGTTATTTTCAATCAAAGCTTTATTTGTCCCGCTGGTTAGACTGTTTTGTGGTTCGTTTTTTCCTATATCGGAGATTTTCGTGTTGACTATAATTGATGATTGAGAACTCTCGTCCAGTTTGGTTTGTTCAGGCTTCCCTTTTTCTGAACCATTTGAAAACGTTATTATGCGCGATTTTATTAAATTATTTCCTGTTGTTGTGCTGCTGTCAACTACTCCTTCATTTTTAATGGTTTCGGTCAACTTTTCAAACTGGAAATCTTTTGCCGAGAATTCGTTAACTCGTTTTTCAACAAAATTCTTGCTAGGTTGCTCGCAGCTCATTACAACCAAATCGTGCCCGTTCTCGGTTACATTAAGTAAATCTACTGCAGGAGATTTAGATTTTCTGAAACTGGGCCCTATCAATTCTTTTTTGTTAATTTTATCCTTAATTTCATTGTTTAGCTTCTTTATTTTTTCAAATTCAACCAATTTTTGACTGTCTGTTTTATTGGAATCCTGAGAGTTCATTATTACATGTCTCAATACAAATTCTTTCTTTGATTCGCTGATGGAATTTTCCGATTTTATAGAGTTGATGGTAGTGTTGGATGTACTGGAAGCTGATTTAGTTTCACTTTTGGAAATTTCCTCTGTTACTGATTCTTTATCATTTGGTTCAGTGAAAACCTCCAATGTGTCTTTCAATGCTTCTGTAGTAATAGCTTCAGGTTTATCTCCTAAGTTCCCGTTCAGTTGATTATTAGGATTCAGAACGTATTCCTCAAAGTCCTTTACTACTTCCACATCGCCATTTGTAGATACTTCATCCACTTTAACTTTCCTGAATTCTTCATTTTCTAAATGCCCGTTGACAAGTTTTTTCGATGTGTGCATCGCAGAAACACTTCTTGCTTCTGATCTAGCCACGTCGCATTTCTCCTTTGAGTTGGACAATATGTTTTCTTTTGGAGGTATTTTGGGTTTGGCCTTAATGGTTTCTGGCTCTTTTGGCCTCAAAACATTCGGCGTTTTTGTATAGTCAAATAAAGTTTGAACTGAGCTTGATTTTTTTGCCTCAGCAGCGCTAGATGATGCTAGAGGGGAAGGATTCACCTTCGGGTAATTTAAAGGTGCGGAAATTGTTTTGGAAGTGTTTATCTGACTTGACGTTATCGAGGAATAGGATTCATTTGAGTGTATTTGCAAATTATCCCGCGGGTTGTCTAAATCAGTGGAGATTTTAACTTTTTGTTCTTTTGTGCCAATTTCTTTACTTGACTCTAAATTACCCTGCAATGAAAAATTTTCCTCCGTATTAAGCCCATCTGCTGTTGGGTTGTGCATTTCAAGTTCGTCTGTATCGTCATCGTATTCATCCTCAATATTTTCAAGTGCATCATCAAAGTCTTCAGTAGATATTGATGATGTGCTGGAATCCAGAAGATAAACAACTTCAGCTTTTTGTTGTTCTACTGGAACTACGTCGGTTGTGCAGATTCCTTCTTGCTTAGTATTTGTTGGTTCCAGCACTTTAGCTGCTACCAAAATTGGTATTTCGGCTTCCGGACCTGGTAAAGTAGAGTCTTGTTCTGGAGTGCCTTGTTTTAGATGTTGAACAGATCTGCTCGCGCCTCCACATTCTTTATCGCTTATGTCACTAGCCTCTTCAGATATCGCATCTAAATATCGAGGATTTTCAGCAATTGGCATGAAGTATTCCTCTAGCTGTTTGCGTTTTTGCAGCTTCTTGGCTTTCGAATCTTCTAAGCCAGCTGTTTTTTCGTATAGTTCCTTAGCAGATTCCTCCGGTGAGTTGGCTAGGTTTAGTCCGCCTAAGAATGTTCTCAATTCTTGTTCCTCTTGAGGGCTGATTTTCGAAGTAGCCTCTATTTTATTATCTTCGCTTAATTGCAAACAAATGGAAGTTAAGGCGCTTTTTCGTGTCTTCTCATTTTTGAGATCAAAATCATCCAGTAGGTTTTCATCGGAAGATGCTTCGGAAATTACAACATTAGGTTGATACTTTCCGTCTTCACTTTCACTAGCTTCGGATAGTTCTTGAATTTTCAAAAGATCATCATCATCCAAACTTTTACTTTTTGCTTTAAGTTTTTTTACATCCCTAGCATGTTCCAGTTTCAGTTCCTTTGGCGATTCTACTTTATATTTGTGTTCGATTCTTTTCAGTCTTAAAATTTCCAAATTTTTTGACGAAGGTTCACGCACGATTTTGTCACTTTCATCCACTATTCCTTTTATGGCAGTCGAGTCAATTTCATCAATTTCAGCTTCGCTTTGGCTCTGACTCTCCTGCGACACAGTCCGATTAAGTAAATTCTTTTTCCGCAGTCTTCGTTTTTTACTTTTCGACATTCGCCCTTGCCCATCGTTCATGTCTTGATTTTCTCCGCTTCGATCTAGTTGAGTCTCTTGCTGCGATCCTACATTACACGAAAGTTTCTCGGTATTTGATTAAGAGCGTCCTCAACACCAAAAAAGAAAAAGATTGAAGCGTCCGTTAACAGGGTGGATCTGTGAAAAAGAGCCGTCTGAACATGGATAAATGCGCAGTCATGCTGGTTTTGTGATCAATGTTTTATATAACGTAGCTGATTTATACATTGTTCAATTTCCGTTGAATGTGGTCATCAAAATCACTATTATATTGTTTTTGACGATAGTATTTTTAATGTGTTTTCAGTTCCTAAACATTAATTACCATAATAATAATTGTTGTAAAAATAAACATGAAAATAATATTTGACAATTAATGTCTGGAATGTTTGTTTAATAGTAATAACTGAACTCTGAAGAATTTGCTATTGTTTTCTGGAAGATCTCTCATTATTTTTATCATTTCTTTTGAGACTTTCCTTAAGACAGACAACAGCAAATGATTTTACGGCATAATCAATATTATATTAACGTTGATCATGAATTTCCCATTGTATATAACATTTTATCTCATCACCAGCGTGATTGCTTAAACAATAAATAACTCATGTTTGCTTGCACAGATTCGCCTATGTAACGTAAAATATAATCTAACCTTGATAGTGAAAACTGCTTAAAAAATCACGTTGCAAACAGCACTTTTTCACAGTCAATTAAAAGATTTTTGGAAGTGTTTTCTCCAAATCACAGCCGTTAAGGTTTTAGCTCGTACACTGCACGATAGGAAAACACCAAAACACTCAACCACAATCACTACATTTTCGCACTGGTTATGTAGACATTGTTAGTGTTAAAAAGCGAAATTGTTTATTAGTCTGAAAACGTATAGGTATATTTTTAGAGATAATTCGTGCTTAAGTATGTGTAATGGATTCCATTGGCGTATCAAATTTCGGATTTTTCGTTTGTATTTCCGGATGGAAGACAGGATATTATCTTTTCCAAGTAGCATTAGGTCGCGTATATCTAAGTATACTTTTTAAAATTTTTATCGTCCAAACGTGTATTTGCGTGTAAAACATAATATTTTTTAAATCACAGAAAATCAGATTTTTTGTTTAAAATTTAACTAAATATTCATTTAATGACCGCCGAGTTAATATTATGTACATACCGCTCCATAGTTTACATATAAATTTTCTATTTCAGCATTATTTATGGGTTTGCTTGACAAAATAGTTTTTTAAACTTGTATAACGAAATAAGTAGTTATAAGTAAGTCTAATAAACATAATCCCTAGAGAAACTGCGTTGATATATTTGAAAGGATTTTATTAAAGTATTAAGTAGGTGTAATGCTTTAAAACCAGCTCTTTAAATAATATAAAAGGGACACTTTTTAAGGAAAATGCTTGATAATAAAATTTTTGGATGTGCAATATAACAATAGGCAGATAGTTTTGGCTTCAAATCGTCACAAGAATCTACTACTAGAGAAATTATGTTCTTTTGATGTTTACTTTTTTGTTCTACTACCCTGTCGTTTTTTCCAATATTTTCTATTTTGCATTCTTCATTCTTTAATTTGATAAAAATACACCATAATTTTTTAATTTATTTTAGTATTCGGTATTTTACTGTAATATAGCGATTTATTTCGATTTTTTGTTGATATTCCAATTCAGGTCAGCCTTTTGGGCTGACTGTGTTTATAAATATTGCCCATTAGGAAGACAACATCAATTCATTAATAGACGTGTTTTATTTTATTTTTTTCAGTCACGTTAAATGCGAATTTCTTTAACTGCTTTGTGTAATATGTTTGGCGTAATTTTAATTAATATCTGAGCAATGTGACTTACCTTCGTCAGGAATGGAACTACAATTGGAATAAGATGATTGTCTGGATGCTACTGCGTGATCACTTGATATGTTTCTTCCTGGAAAGAAATAAATAATTATAGAATTTTGATAAATGTATTAATCGAACGGTTGAATTTTTAAAAGAACTATTCAATTTGTAAATCCTAAATCCTTCAGGAGTTCTGAAACTTTTCATTTAATATTAATTAAATAGTTCGCGAGTTTTTGGCGACTTTGCGTTTTTTTTTTCAACTTCACTTTTTCTTAAATTTACTTTTTGCTCCATCTAAAAATTGGTGCTTGGTCAAAGAATTTAGTCTATTTACACTCAGGTGATATTTCCGTTGTTGAAATTCGGTTCTGACCAAGTTTTTTCATTCTTGACTGGCGAAGGCGCCAACGAATTCAAAGATTTATCTCCAATAGGAAATCAGTGGATGGATAGATAAATAATTTGTCGGTATAAATTTGCCTGTTTTCATATACTAGAAGTTTTATGTTGAATGCATTTTTTCAGTCACATAAGAGCTTCCAATGTTTTTAACATTTATCTGTTTATCCCATTAAATCAAACATTGATCCGAACGATTTTGACTTTTGCCTAATAAACAATGAAGCTATCGGCATTATTATCAAAGTTTTCTGATATTAGTCGGTACAGATCTCGAGATGTGTTAATCTCAGACAACTCTAGCGCCGATTTCAAGCACATTGGCTCTGATCAGCGAGATTTAGTCTGAGAGTAACACTTTCAAAACCTGTAGTTGTATTGCGCCCATGAAATTTCCATCGGCGGGCTGCAACTAGTTGGTTTCGCATTTGCATCATTATTAGATTAGTTTCCAATTGACCCCAAAAAAAATATTCTGATGATAATATCGAATTTTAACTAAATAATAACTTAAGCAGGTATTTATTACCTTCTGGAATTAATGTGCTTGGTGTCGAGGTAGATGAGCTTGACGTCGATTTTTCAGACACCGGAAAGTTCGTTACGATCGTAACATTTGTACCGTTTTCGTTGGAATCTGAAAAATAACGGAAGCCTACATATTAATGTTGCTTGCAGCCCTATGAAAAAGCCGTTCACAAATGCAGTAATAACATGTGACGAAAGCTTTATGGCCTACAAGTTAGCCAAAGCTAAGACATTCCCCATGAGAACTTTAACAATCCGCACTTAAACCTAATGAACGTAGGTACATTATAGTCCGAGATTTTTATGTCATTATAACTCAACAATTTCGTCTTTTTGTTGCCGCTGCATTATCTTCGTTTAAATTTCCCGGTATAGGTGATCGTTGCCGGATTTATATTATATTATTACATTCCAATTACCATATAAAATTACTTTCCAAGCAGCCTTTACGGGAAAATCTGACCGCAGGTCAGAACAGTCATTCGTTAACATAGGCAGATATTTTTTCAGCCGCAGGAAATTTGCAGATAATTGCAGATATGTTATTCTGAGTAGAAGTAGTTTGCCAGGTGAAGATTTTCATTGACTTTTACAAGATTTATCAATAAATAGCTAGTTGGGAGAATTTTTTGCAGAGCAAGGACTTGGGTACTGAAAAATCACGACTTTCAACGCATTTTTTAGCTCAATAAGAATTTTATTTATTTTCTTAGGTTTGCAATACTCGCGGTGGAAATTGCATTTGTGACGCAGATTCTCATTTACATTTATAGACAGGTTTTATTGCATTTCAAACCTATGATTTTTTTACAGACCTGACTAATATTGTAAAATTCCTTAGCTTCACTAATAGACTTCGATGCTAATATCTCAAAAGTTGTTTTTTCAGTATTTATAAAGTATAACTTTGATTAGCAGCAGATGTTTTTCAGTTAAATTCTACGTGCACGGGCAAACTCACAGTACATTCCAGCTTTTTTTTAAAGAAAACTGACTGGAATAAATTTTTTCCAAATATTTGCGCTATATTTCATAAAACTCTATATCAATATTATTTAAATTTACGTGTAAGAAACTAATTGTTTACATACCAAATCGAGAAAAGTCCACGAAATTTGTTGTTCACAAGCACAAGTCAAACTGTTTTTTGTTTAATCTAAAGTACGAAAAGCTCGAGTCTCGTGTTGAGCAGAACGACGCCGATACTGCTATTGAATAATTGTTTAAGCGAAATGGGATGTACCATGATGGGTTGAAGCATACTTCCGTATCCGTTTTTCGTGGGAGTGTCTCTGCACACTGTTATCCCATTTTATAGAGTGGCCGTAACTGGCGCACCTTAAAAAATTCGACTACTGACTGCATTACTTATTTACCACTATGCGGTTGCGGTGATTTATTTGATGTTTCTTTTCCAGAGTAGAACGTTGTGGAACCTATCTAAATTTGACTTGAGGTGGTGTTGGAGTAGTCAATTTTGAAATGAGATTCGTGTTTCTGAATACAAAACCATATTTTGATACAATGGGGTAATTGAATGTGATAAGTAGCATCTGCTTGATTAACTGGATTGGAAAATTGCAGTCTAAATCAAGCAAAGAATTATATATGTATTAATATTCGCTTTCATTGTTGGAAATTCGAGCATTCCTCTGGTTTAGTTACAGTTTCGCTAAACAATTGCTGAAGCTCAATGCAGTTTCGATCCGATTTAGTTAATTTCATCGTTAATCACCATATCAGAGCCATTGTGCAATTGTACTAGATAATTCGTTGATGTCCAATTCGGACAAGGTGACATCCACATCCATTCATTAAACTTAATAATGAAAACAAATAAATATTTTAGGCTTCAAATAACCCGTTTTATATTATTGTCATCCAATAAAAATAGTGTTTTATCATCCATTGTAGAAAGGGAGTGATTCTTGCTGCGCATTTTTTTTTACTTGGGAACAACCGAAACCAGAATGTTTCTGGTTCTGGAAGCACCAAGACTATAGAGCTTGCAAATTTAAGTCAATAACAGTTTTTGAAAAAATATCGAAAATTTTTATGGAATTTTCCAACAAAATAGTTCTGTTTTGTTTGAATTTTTCACAAAAAGAACCCACTTTGAACCTCACTAGACTCACCGATATTCTCCCAGCTTTCCAAGAGAAAAATTATCCCAAGTTTTGTTTTTGTTGCTTTAGTTGTATCCATTAACATTGTTGTTATGCTCTAGCATATTGATCATCCGGTCCATGATGGGACGACTAATTTTGTGAAAACAGCCGAGGATAATTGGGCATAATGGGCTTGGATTTGGGCACGTAATACTGTATACTACAAAGCCTTGCGAAATACCCAACTAGCAAATACATAGTAATAATTGGTTGGTTTTGGTTGCAAAGTTCCGTTGTTCAGATCAACTGCACGTATAATTTTATTGTAGTATCGTAGTAATTTTATTTATGCAGTCATTGGATGCGCCCTTTCTTTTCTGATGACTTTCAGGCAAGGAAATTGGTGGTATGCTTTAAAAGTAGTAGAAAAACGTTCAAATTTTTCACTCGACAAATTTCAAATACAGGTAATTTGCGATTAAATATAAATCTAAATTTAAAATAATAAATTATTTTTATAATAGTCTGACATTCTTCCGGGAACGAAGCGCAGAATAAGTTTATTTAATCTAATTCCGTTTTCCAGTCTTCTTCCTTCAATCGGCAATTAGCTTTTAATCCCAACACCAGAAGAAAGTGAGTGCTTTGTAACAAATAATGTTACATCGAAATATACCCATAATAGAAACAAATAGAAACGATTGCAACATTTTCATAAAGCAATAATTTCTCTTGCGCATAACAAAAAAACCAAGTGGTCAGATATGAAGTTTTTTCTATTTGAATATTAGTAAATTAAAACATTTGCAGAAATGTTATTTAAAATTACAAATTATTTTTAGTTTCAGTTGCGATTAGAAAAACAACCGTTTTTATTATCCTCTTTTGCTCTCTTTCAGTAACGCTGTTTAGAGTTTAGGAAGTCAATTTAATTTGCTTTACGAACGTTCGTATTTGTGGGAAATAAGAGATCGAATAGGCATTAATTGCTAATACATTTTCAGTTTTTTAGGAAAGTGGGCCTAATCTTCACTAATTTTCTGTTTCCGTTGCAGGATAAGCAATTTCAGAAGTTTTAATTGAAATCGTGTCAACTTTTTAAAAGAAAGTAAAATTAACGTTTCTACACTTTTTACACAAACTACCGTTTCCTAACCGAAAGCGGAATCTAAATTTGAAAGCTTACATAACGAGAAGAAAATGTAAAACTTTTTTCTGGACATAGAAAAAGTACGCTGCTTTTTCACCTCTTCTTAAAATACCTTTCTTTTTCAATCCAATTCTGGACAACATTTTCCTCCATCGCCTTTTGGTGGGGCGTTCCCGCTTATCCCATTTGTCTTCCGATTGTTTCGCCACACTTTTCCTACGCTTGAGACACAAAGTCCACGGTAGACGCATTTTTCACTTTTTAATCAAAATCCTCACAGGTACGAAAAACACCAAAGAACTTGGTGCATGTAGCCCAAACGACTCTAAGAAAATAATCTTCTTCTGGTTCATATGCTTTTGGTAATCGTGCCGCGCCCTTTTAGTTTCTGGTGCCTCATAGCGGAACAAATTTGATTTTAAAAGGCACTCCCGCTGTCTGATGTTTTTCATTAGCGTTATGGTGTTTTTAATTTTTAACATCGTAGTGTTTTAATTAATTTGGACTTACCTTTACCATTAGTAAATTCGCTGGATTTGAAGATTTCGCATTCGTGATTTTTTGGCTTGCCTGAAGATTTTTCAATAGTCTCTTTCAAAGTGTATGTAACACTGGACTCTAAACAAATTAATCCTAATTAGTATTATATATTTGGAATTTTATTGAATTTATTCGTTAGAGTTTTTCATGCAAATAATTTTTTCCAAGCGCTGTTTTTTTAAAAATATATTGCGATGTATCAGCTTGTTATTGCTTTTTGGGTTTATAGCTTTATATCATTTCTAATGCATTCTTCGACAGAAGAGTTCATTAGGTTGTTTTTACGTGTGAAGCCGGTGTTACAACTCAAACCATAGTTCCATTTTAAATTCAATAATCAATCAAATTATTAGCATGCCGTTCGTCTCTCCTTCTAGTTATTGCTAAAGAAGTTTTGAAAAGCATAAAATTTGAACTATTTGTTAATTTCTGTCGAAGTTGTAACTGTTTTACAGATGAGAGTTTACAATTCCGAAAAGGAATAAATTTGTTATTTCGATCTACGAACAGTTAGGACAAGGAAAGATGTATAAAATAATGTTGAAATTAAATATAGTGTTAAACTTAGGTACTACTTACTTTTTACAGTTTCTTGATGAGTTTCCTGATGGATGGTTCGGTACTGTCTTCGAGTTGGCGTATTTTCTACGGCTCTGAAATATTTTGGGGGTAAGTCATTTTCTACTTTGTATTTTATTGTGAAAACATTATTTCGAAAGAAGCCGAAGTTGTTTTCGGCAATAGTCGATTACCAAACATTTAATTAATATGTAATGTATGTAAGGGCTTGGAATTATGCCGGATATACAAACATTTTGCTATTGGGCGTTGATTTATTTTATTTAAAAAATACGGGCAATATAGCAAATGCAGCCTAAATAATCCCAAATGCGCTAAAACTGGGATTAAGGCGGAATAACCAATATAATAATACGAATTAGGTGATTTAGCAATATTTGTTAAACTATTGTCTGTAATTTAGCCTTATTATATTTTGAAACTTTACATTGAATATATAGAAATGAATCAATTAATGAATTAGTTACTTGGCAGCATGATAAGGCTTTACAGTTCATAACCAATCAAATATCGGAAATAGTTTGGTATTATTTCCCTAAAATAAGATCTCATTTTGCGAATGTCGTTCTCGATATTGGGATAGGTTATTTCTTTGATCTTTCGAATATTTTAATTTTAAATTAAAATAACAACACACCAATAATACTTTCCACTGTATTTCATCCTTATTGATGTTCATAAATTATTTGGCTAATAACTAACAACCGATTTAGTGCTGGCTTAACGAAGTAGGTAAAAGCGCTCGGAATATTCATGCTATACATATATTGTGATGAGTGTTATTAGATAATAATTTATAATGCCTATTTTAGCATGCAGCCAGTCCCAAAAAAGCCTAATTATAGTGGTTTTAACAAGAATAAGCAATATTAGAGAAAACTTGAAAAGAGTTACTACTTACTAATTTCCTATATATTTTTTTCACAACCGCGTTTAAGGCTCTGTTATGACAGTGTGATCCCAATACTGCGATCGTGAAAAAGTTTGCCGTCAAGCCGAAACCAATATGCACATCTATTTATAATTTTTTCACAAACTCCGATTTTCAAAACAAAAATAAACGGAACGTAACCTTTAAAAATGCCGTACTTGAGTCGGCCGATAATTTATTAGGAGGCGAGTATTTTTGAAAAAATTTGGAAAAGATAAATTCGGTTAAAGTTGCTTCATTAATTCTGGAACAGTGATGAATGGCATAGAATAGAAACTTGACTGAAATTGAACATTTTTTTAAATTTCTGTTTTTTGGATTTTTAAGCGACAGCTACCCCAAACCCAAACTAGCCAAATAAGTAGGCACCTGCACATAAGAGGGTTTGCTACAGCTCTCAAACAATTAAGTTAAAATTAATTAATTAAGTAAAAAAAATATTCCAGTCTAGCTGATTTAAGTCGATTTCGGGTACGAGATAAAATTTACTTTGTAAAGGAACATGTCGCAATAATAGTCTTTCATTAACTGATTGAGTAAAACTAACAGTAATTAATGACTTGCAAACACATGTCCGATTAATCAAAGTAAATTCGCTTTTCAGCATGTGTACCTATGTAATTCCATGCAATGCCAAATGTTCTAAGGTTGACATGGTTGAATGAAGCTTTGGTGTTTTATTCAGCCTCACCCTTTCGTTTCGATGAATGCGAACATTATGTCAAGCAGAAATCCTCATTAGTAGCTTACAATAATACGCCTACTCAATGCCAGTAGCTCACATGTTGAGTTGAGTCGTTTTTTTTAATGTGTCCTATTTTTTTTTACTCAGAATTTTGTAAATCGAAACCCAGCTTCGATTCTATATTAAAATTTATGAGCCGAGGTTACAGGTATAAAATTCTAACTTCGACTTAAAAATTCTAGCAAAATTACGGTCTCATCTTTTTTACTTAAGAAAAACAGCAAATGTTCATCGTATTTGTCTTAATTAAGGACTGAGCTTCAGCTTTAAGGCAAGTAAAAAAGTCAGCGAGATGAATGATTTTGATAAGAAAAGTACGCAGAGATGGTAAAAACGCCACTGCAAAGAAAAACATCGATTCTTGTTGTGTTGTCAGTTCTATTGAAGTTGCATAATACCCATTTATCCATTATTTATTTTAAACGGTAATTCACTGTGTCAGTGGCACTGTCTATACTATAGCTAATGAATAGTTTTAGAAATTGCTTTTGTAATGTAATAAAGAAATCTGAGCTTAATGATGGCGTCATTTTAAAGGTGTGGATAAACGAAAAATAAATCTGTATAGAACTTTATCAGCTCAAGTAGCATCGCAATTGACTTTCATGGGACAAAAATTAAGCAAATTGTTGGTCTATTGATGGACTACCAAAAATATGTCCGTTAGTAAGTGAATTTTCGACTTACTCATTAAGTCCTAACTTGAGAGTGCTTCCGGACCTCTTCAGCAAATTGTGGGCTTCGTTGTTCGTTAAATTTTGAGTTTTTTCGCCCTGTATCGATGTTATCAGGTCTCCTTCTCTAATTCCCCTTTGGGCCGCTTTACTTCCAGGATTTACCTGAAAAAATCCAAGTTATTGAGAATCACTTTATGATTTCCCTAGTTTGCAATGTTGATAAAGGAAAAAAAGAGAAAAACGTTCTGTCATAAAGGCAATACTTGGAATATGTTATGGGCTTTTAATAAATAGTGTTGTAAAATTAATTGATTTATTTATTTAAAAGCGCACCAATACAAAAATAAAACTGATTTAGGATTAAAGGCAATTCAAAAATAAGACGGTGCCCAATTATCAAGCAAGCAAAATTTCATAATTTTCTTTCTCCTTAGGTAGTTTTATTTTATTAGTAATTTCTATTATATGTACTGTTGGCATGTTTGTGCTGATTTTCAAGCCCATCATTTTTGAATAGGCGCCGAAACTTTTCGAAGAAAACATGTGAATACATATTTAGCGTGCGAAGTAGAAGATTTTCATTAGCTCCTAATGTTTCAAAGTTATAAAACTCTTGGGCGATTGATATATACTTGTTTTAATTCTGGCTACAATTTTATACTAACCAAAAAATCCTTGCGTCTTCCACTGGGCGAACAAAACTTAAGCATCTTCACTTGGGAACATAAGCGAATCGTTAAAACACCAAACTGTTTTTAGAATAAAAACCCCATAGAACTTAAGTCAGTCGAAGCGGATGGTGCAAAGCTTCAAAAACAACACTTAAACGACTCAGAATATAGACAATGGATCTCATAGACTTTTAAAGAGCTTTCAGCTTAATAAGCGCGCAAGAAACCCCGTTAAAGCACACATTTCAATTAATACTGTTTAAGCATGTAATGTGAAAAGGCATTGTAGGGACCCGTAAAGTTCTTGGAATTACGACGAAGAGTGGAGACGGCGACGAAAATTAAAAAAAGCTAGGTACTTCATTTCGAAAGAACGAATTATTATTTTATTATGCTCATTATACCAGGTGCTGGCAAAAAGAAAGTAGATATTTAATGGAAACATTTTATCTTAAGCGCTCTTGTCATCAATGTGTAAATAAAGTGTTAAAAGAAGCAACAACTAACTTGGAATTCTACAGCTTTTGTTTGAAGGGAGGAGTGATCATAGACATAATTTTCGAAATCTTATCATACAGTTAAAAATGAATATGATAATTTAATATACGCAGAAATTGCATGTTTCTTAAAATATACACTGTGGACATTTTATGGGTCTATTATATTTTTTCTAAGATTTTAACGCAATTATTGTCTAATAGATATTTCGTGTCGACCCTCATAGTTGATTCTCATTTTTTACGCTTCTTTAGTATTCCGTGTTGTTTTCTCTGCCTTAAACGCTTAATATGCTGGAAGTGGCACATTTATCCCTGTCTTACTAGAGTCGGTTGATATCTGTGTTGTTTTATGAATATAAAATATTTTTATTTACATAAACAGCCAAATATATTGAAACTTATTCAACTAGTGTATTTTGGGGGTGATAAAGAGCGAAAAATGTTTGTAAATTTGCTACTAAAACGGCTGTAAAATAGTCGGGTTGCGACATGGATTTAAAAGTCATTTTCGTTAAAAACTGCTTCAGTACACACCCATACGAAAATGCTCTAAAAAGGCATATTATGTAGCATCACATACAAATACATTCTAAGCAGGAATTGAAGACGTATATTTTACCCAAAATAATCATTGCTAAATCTGATAAATAGTATTTGTTTCTTAAGTTTAACTTTCTGTGAAGAATCCAATTATTTTTACCCTCAAGCACTTACTACTTCAAAGCTATCACAAATTGCCAATATTTTGTTATGGTTTTTTTAAATATCACTTTTCTCCATATGTATTTGGGAAAAATCACTGTCCAGAATAACAAGTTCAGGAACAGACTAAATATCATGCCTAGAAAATATGCTGGATAGTACACGCCTCTAATATCAAATTTCAATAATTCGGCCATTTATAGTTGCAATATTCATACATCTATGCTGTTAATGAACGACTCCGACAACATACAAGTTTTGCCTGATTTTCAAACTTATTATTTCCTTAAATAATTTTTAAACATAATCACGTCTAATAGGGAGACTATATCCACTTGTATCCAAATACCCATTCTCATTGTTTACTGCTTTGCCATAAAATCATCACTTTCTTTTGCTTATGTTTACTTGAGAGAACTAACAACTCTTGAAGTTATTTAAAAACTTTCTCAAACATTTACATTCCCATAATCCTTTTCGATCCGACCAGGAATTTAATTTGTAATTAGAGTGAAAAAGCCAAATATTTACTCCTGAATTAAGTTGGGCAGATTTAAAAATACATTGGCTCCCTTAACTGGTTAAATTGAGTTTCTTTAATGCTGCGTATCGAATTTGTCACAAAATAATCAATATATCAGATTTTTAATAAACTTTTTCTGTTATGAGTAGCTGGTTTGCTGTAGTTGTGATTGAAACATTACTATAATTTGAATACATTTGCGTAATATTTTATAAAAGCATACGTTTTAGGTCAATTTTCTAGTTCGAAAGCCAGATGTTTTTTCCTACATCACTATCAACTTTTTAAACGGCAGTTATCGCTACTGTAACTGCCCAACAAAAATAAACTATCTGTCTTCATGTTACGAAAATAACCGTCGCTTTATTTACCATAAACCATTTTGAACAACACATGTCTGTTTATAGGTTGACAGTTAATAATTAACTTATTAACGCAAACTTGGTTGTAGATCAAGTGTCTTCGGATGCTTTGAGCGAAATGTACAATTAAATTAATCTCATCCGGTTACAGATAGTTACAGATATCCTAAAGGCGTACTTAGGATAACTACAGTAAGTGTAAAATGTAACTGTATCTAGAACTCTGTGTTTTCCTAATAGATAATTTGTGCTAGATTTAGGATTTATGGTCGGTATTTCAGGAAGCTGATTTAGGATTTTCATCCAATCAACTTTGGCATAATTCAGATATTCGTTAAGTTGGAGTGTTTTATCAAACAAGTGTGTTTGTACAGATTTCTGCAATTAATTTTCTAGTAGCAATTTCGATCAGAATAATTAGCATTACATCCTCAGCCTCAGCCTACATTGGTTACTTCATGAACTGCACCCAGTTAGCAATGATTTTCAATAGACCTTATCTAATTGAAATCATTAACAAGTCAAGAGGTTTTATGGGAGTTCACGGCGAAAGGTCGTGGCACTTATGGAATTGAAATAATCGCATGAAACAGTGAAAAGTAGTCAAAATGTGCAAATACTGAATCTCCAGCTAAGGACCTACTCTGTAACTATCGTGTTTTAGAAAATGTCGTAAATTCATCCGGGGAAAAGTTGCAGAATTAGATATTGAAATATTTGGGTTATTCTAATTAATAACATATGAGCTGAATATTTGCTGCAATTTACTAATAGCTATATATCGCGATAATCAGCAAGAAGCAATAAAGTCACAACTTAGCAATTAACTGAAATGGTTTATTGGCTAATTAATTAAATTATTCATCAATTGGGTTGATACGCGCAATGCAAAACTCTTCCCATATTTAAGCAAACAATCGATTTAATTGATGCTTTTGTGGAATCAGAACGCAAATTAATGGCAGCATTAATTTCAAAGAATCACAACATATTTTATATTCAATTAAAGGCCGACTGTAAAAAACAACTTAATTTAATTCGTTGATTTCATTACGAAAATTGATATTGATTGTTTAGGTGCTAATATGTAGATCGAATATCCGATTAGCTGGTTATCTGATTGAGTTAGTTCACTGATAGTTATTAATCATATGGATATATTTTATCTAAATTGTCATCGCTATTTAGGTCGGTATTTTTAAAAGAAATATATACGGTTTAAAATTTGGGAGGTGCAATAATGTGGTTTCTAATTAGAGATCTATTAATTAATTAATTAGTAGTGGGGTAGGTTTTGTACCTTTTTTCCTGGTTAAAATCAGTTTTTTTCTTCAATCTGTACACTTTTAACACTGTGGTAAATGTAGCTATTTTCTTTGAAATATTTCAAATTATGTAAAATCTCCTGATATAAAATAGTGCAAAATTTCCTTTGGCAATTAATTCCATATCGTTCAGTGATATTAGGAATGGGAAACAGTCCAAATTTTCAAAGCAGCACTGACTCATCATAGCAAATTAAAACTGGTATATTGATCATTGTATTGTGTTCCAACTGCACTTTAAGCAAGTGGAAATTAATTTTCTCGTAGAGACTAGTATTAAACTTTTTTAAATAGAAATAAAGGACGAATAAAAATTGATGAAAATCAATGAATTCAAGGCATTATTTATAATGTTAAAAGCCATTTATTTCTTTAGCGGTTATAGAGCATTCAGTAAACAAAACATCAACCATTTAAACAATAATAAAAATGGGCGCAATTATAAAAGGAAAAGATCAGCAAAGAGGCATTAATTTCATCTCCAATTAGGATGAGGATTACTAAGGGACTTTTATTCATTTCCACAGGCACTGTACTTGAACTGAATAAATAAGCGCAAAATTCACATGTCCGTGTGACTTTTAGTGTAATTTCTTCACTCAACAAAATACTTGTTGGTAAACTAATATTAGATATGAGCTGAAAAGCAGCTTTTTAGCATGTAAAATGCAGCCGGTTGTTAATCATCTTTTTTACTGAATTAGTCAAATGAACCCATGAGACAAAAGCCAACTGATTTGAGAGCAAAGTAAAACCCACTAAAAACTTACCCTGGAAACTTTTAATGGATATTTCTGATCCACACCACCATTCATGCGAAATCCCCACGGTACGCCACCTTCCAAAGTCACTTCTCGCTGTGTCATAGCCCAGATTTCGCGACTTTCCGCCTATTTTCGCCGATTTTTTGCGGTGTTTTTAGTGTTTGGACAATCGCCAACTGGAACAACGGATTAGTACATAAGCCAGTGTCAATAACTTTATAATTTTTTTTATTGCCACTAGACTGATCTAATTAGAGCACGTCAAATGTTGGCAGAATCCTCCTGTCTACCCGTATTTTAACATTCAAAGAAATTTTGCTGATCCAAAAGTGTAAGTTATTTATTGTGGATCAAAGACAACCGATGTTTATTTTGGTTGCCGTGCATTAGTGGAAGCCATCATCTTCTTTGTATAGCAAACTAACACTGATTTTTAAAGGCAATAAGGAAACCTATAATTATACCTAATATCTTGGTGACCGGATGGCATATTACAAAAGCCAATCCAATTGTTTACAAAAAAGACAAGATTTTTACTTGAAATAATCGACAAAGTGTTTCCAGAAAATGTCACTAAAAGTTTTAATTAATCCATAACGTTTTCAACAAGTAAAAGTTGCAAAAATGTCCAAAACATTTAAGTAACTAAGCTATGGCAAGGCTATGGCTGTTTTATTAGATTAAGTGATCAAGCAAGAAATATTGTTCTAGAAGAACAGTGGATACACTACAAATTATTTTTTTATTTGCTGCT